GGTCACATGTATTTGGAGGTGCTCTGTGCAGATGCTCGTGTTCTGCTCTTTCTCTGGAAAGCCAATGCCCTTCCTTGTATGGCCTGCTTACATTCTTCCCATTCCTTAAGGGTGTTTCAGATGTCACATCCTCCATAAGACCTACCCTGCTCCTGTCTCTACCCAAAGTCCAAAGTCAGGCCTCCCGGCCACCAGGCATGCACCGTGTTCAGCACTGAGTCTTGGTTCTTTGTATACTTGCTTGTCACTCCTACTCGACCCCCTAGTGTTTGAGGACAGAATCCGAGGCTCTTCCATGTTTGGGATCCTTTGTAGCATTTACCAGTGTCTGCCAGGAAGTGGCTGTTGGGCTCTCACTGAATCTCATTTCACATTAGCACTTCTTATTAGCTGGACCAGGCAGAAGAAGCACAAAGCGAGAGTTGTTAGGGTCCAAGTACACAGTTTTTTATGCCACCAGCCAACCTTAGTATTTGGGATTGTGTGGGGAGGGTCAGTAACAACCAGAAGGTTCAAGTCCAAGGGATGATAGTGAAATGCTACATGTTGACAGCTGAAGCATCTCTCCAGCTCTTCCAGGGGGCGTGTCCACCCTTAACCATGACAGGTGACCCCTGAGGGTCCAGTGACGAGGCAGGTATGGGGATGATGCACACTGGCCACAGGCATTTCCAGTGTGAGCTGCCCACCCACCCTGCAGAGAGCCCTCTCAGCAGCTGGCACAGTATTCCAGGAACGTAGCAGGTTCTCCAAACATACATAATAAATAAAGGAAGTTTGGCTTTTTCTTCCGCTGGATGGCCCAGCATTACAGGGCTGGCTTCTTCATGCCTCGTTTTCTTCAGCTGCAAAATCAGTATGAACCTGATGTTCTTTGACTATATGACAATCAAGCATTGCTGGGATTATGAAAGAGTCAGCATGTATTGTAAACAATGATTAGTGAGGGTACACATGGCTGTTGGAAGAGAAAGCTCAATTGTCAAGACACTTACAAAACCATCTCTGCTTTCTCTGCATACGCCTAAATAGCGTTCATTAAATCTTTATCTCAGTACCCTCGTCCACAGGACTCAGTTTCCTTATGGAAAGTCAAGGAGCCATCCATCGGCTCATTGCCGACAGCTGTTGAAAGGAGCAAGTAATACGAGTGATTGCAAAGCACTGGCCTCAAATGCGAGGAATTATACAATAATAATAGTAATCATCTGTCACTAAAAGTATTTCCATCTTAGTCGGTTGTAAGTAATACATTTTCTCTCTGCTTAAGTCTCTCTTTACTCTCTAAATAATGCATTACCCATTGCATTTACAAGCTCCCAGCCTGCTTCGTGTTTTAAATTGAAATCTGGCCTGCCCACGTGAGCTAACACCATTCACCTCGAGAATAATACTAGGCGATCTTTAACAACAGGGCTTTGAGATTTATGGTTTGAGCTGTGAGATGGAACGTCAGCAGTGCAGCAATTCAGAAAAAGAATCCTCACACCTCATTTCTTCATTCAAATGAATTCAGCAAATATGTCTTGAGCACAGAGTCAGAGCCAGGCAATGTGTTGCAAATCCGATACTCCGGAGCAGGCCACACAGACGTGGAAACTAATCACTGTAATCGAGGTAATAAAAGTTTTATGGAGGACCTGCAGAAAGTGTCTTGGTAACATACTGGATGGAATTACCCAGTGGGCCTCGGGAGGAGGACTGTGGGAGGTGTCTTGGTGGGTTCAGTTGCAGATAACCGAGTGCTTTCTAGCTGGTTTAAACAGAGAGGGATTTAATGTGGTGAGCTAGGCGTTTGCCAAATGTAGGGCTGGAGGAGCAGGCTCTAGGCAGGGCTTCCAGGAATAAATCTCAGGACAGCAATACGGCTCACTGATGCTGGTACCCTTCAGAGATCACAAAGTCAGGCCCTTAGAAGCCAGTGCCCCAACTATCGGCAACAGAATCATGTTGCCTCAGCTATGATCCATGCTAACACGACCCTCACACAGCCTAGGGATCTCCAGGAAGCTAGATGGACACGATGCAGTAAAACCAAACATCTCGGCTACTGTGTTTGCCAGCAGAACCTCACTTCCCTCTCCCAAAGTGTTTGGCTGATTGGTAGAGGTGGGTCTGGTGAACTCAAGCTGCGAGGAACCCTGGGAAGTGTGGTCTTCAGCGTTAGCACCTCTGGCCCATAGTAACTCTTGCTATAAGAGGGTGGGTGGTAAACAAGGGAGCCAGTCTCCAATTTCTGCCTTTAAGTCTTTCATGGGGAAAGAACCACTTCATCTGGGACCTGCAGGATAAATGTAGAGCCACAGGACACAGGGAGTGGGGTCACAGGACACAGGGCAGTGGGGGCACAGGACACAGGGCAGTGGGGCCATAAGACACAGGGCAGTGGGGGCACAGGACACAGGGCAGTGGGGCCATAAGACACAGGGCAGTGGGGGCACAGGACACAGGGCAGTGGGGGCACAGGACACAGGGCAGTGGGGCCATAAGACACAGGGCAGTGGGGCCATAAGACACAGGGCAGTGGGGGCACAGGACACAGGGCAGTGGGGCCACAGGTCACAGGGCAGTGGGGTCATAGGACACAGGGCAGAGGGGGCACAGGACACAGGGCAGTGGGGGCACAGGACACAGGGCAGTGGAGCAGGAGCAGCTATGCCTACTGTGTGGTCATGGTATGGAGCTGTGAAATGCATGCCTGGTTCAAAGAAATAGAAGTAATTTGAAATGACAGCACAAGATATAAAACTAGGAGCAATAAGACGTGAGGAGGGAGAGTCACAGTGGACTGATTTATCAGCACTTTGGATTTTAGGCTTTAAGCTGAAAGTAGTAGGGACATCCAGAAAGGTTTAAAGGAGTGGGTGTATATGTGTGTGTGGAAGAGAGAGAGAGAGAGAGAGAGAGAGAGAGAGAGAGAGAGAGAGAGAGAGAGAGAGAGAGAGAGAGATACAGTGTGCTGGTAAATGTTTAACAACTGGGATCTTCAGATTTGTAGTGTATGCCAATTCGGTGTTGTAAATGCTTCCAACACATGGATAGTCTCATTCAAGCTACTGATGTGACATCACTGAACATGGGTTTGGGAAGAGATATTGACAGCAGGTTCTTGGGAGCTGGTTCAAACTGGTTCCAGAACTCCTGTTTTTTGTGACATGATACATTCTCAAAATAGTTTCTTAAGATGTATAGTTCCATTTCACAAATGCTAAAACTGAGGCCTAGCGAGCTAAGTATTTGACCCCAGGTTATGCAACTAATTAATGGTGGAATCTTGTTTTAGGTCTAGGTCTGCCTGTTTGCAAAGCTGGTGCCCTTTCAACAAGACTGGATAGTGTAGAGATGGGTTGGAAGGAAGCACAGTCAGAGGGAGGAGCCAAATAAAGGTCACTGAAGAAGCTAAGTGAGAGGTGATGAGGCTGAGCCAAGTGTGGTAGGTGTCAGGAAGCATGGGCACATTGGGCAGAGCTACAGAACACAATTGTTGGCCTTGCATCACATCAGAGGGGAGGGGCTGGGGGAAGGGGCAGAGTTATAAATGAGGTTGTAACAGGCCTGGGCTGTAACTGCGAACACGGTGGTGTCTATGGCCAGGACAGGGTCATAAGGCATAGGTTTCATTACAAGCTTATGTTCCAGTGTGGGCATGTTGAGGTCAAGGGCCTGTGGAAAGTCCAGGTGGGGATGTCCAGTAGGAAAGGGGAAACCCATGTGCTCAGGAGACAGGCCTGAGTTGGCGATGGTGACCAAATCAGTCTAGAGATGGTATTGGAAGCCTTGGCTATAGGTGAACATGCAGGAGACAGTGTGGGGCGGTCTGAGAATAAGCCAATAAAGGGATGGTCTCAAGGAGAATCAACTCAGAATCATGTTTCAGTAGATGAGGAACGAGTGTGTCCAACATGGGAGTTCAACAGTGTTGAGCGTTGTTATGGATGCTTTGATGCCCTCCCTGACCCCATTTCAGCAATAAACTACTTTTCTACCAATTGCTGGAATACCTCCCAAAGATGAGCTCCTGCTGTTGGCCCTATTTGGGGACTTCCCACCTGAAGAACACTACCTGGGTCTCACTTCCTTCCAGGGGTGGCCCCTATCCACTGACCAACACAGTGGGATAAAGGCCTAGCTTCCTTGTCCCACTTGGGACAACTCTGCAGGGCCACAGTAGCTCCAAGTTTCCCTATGGAGTTGGCTGAGACCCAAGCTGGAGTGCATTACAGTTCAGCTTCTCCCTCTACCCCATCCAGCTTCCTTCCCCTGCCTTCTGTAGGCACTGAACCTAAGTGTGATCCCAAATAGACATCCTGCTGACTCACCTCCATTTCAGCATCTGTGTCTCAGGGAGCCCAGCATATGACAGAACCTTATTCCTCATGTCTTCTATCCTATGACATTGCTGTTCAGTGGTAAGCAGGACCAGACCAACCCATTCATTCATCAGATCCTAAAACAAACTGGTGGTAGTGGTGGTGGTGGTGGGTGGGGGGTGAGGTGGGGGTGAAAACCAAGACTCTAACATCTTATTGACCGAATAAAGCTTTATTTTAATGCAAAATAAAACAAGAAAATTTTGTATATTCATATATAACAACATCCAAAATTTTTTTTCCTGTGGTACAAATGGATTCATTTTAAAAAGTCTGTAAAGAATTTTAATCTCCACCCCCATATGCCAAAATATGATTCACATATTTTATATTCAGAACAGACTTGGTATCACAGAAGCACAGGAAAACACTAGAAAAAGTGACTGCATCAACAGCAGGTTTTGTTTTTATGTTCCAGTAGTAAACAGCACTGCAGTCAGCATAGATGGAACAGAACTCTCTCGAAGAGCTGAGTCAGGACAGTCTGGGGTTAGTGCACTCTCCACTCGGCTTCTAGTTAAGCCCATCTCTGTAAGTCATTACTATGTAAGGACGGGAGAGAGAGAGTTTCACTTAGAAGTTGTAGCTGTATTTGAGAGTCTAGGCTTATTTTAGACATCTTTCATTCTCCTTTTTATCTGAAAGGTGACTTTGTAGGGGTATCTTATGGAGAATCGTCTTTGTGGTCTCATCGTGGCATCATTTCTACCTAAGTCAGTGTGAACTGGGAGTGCAGAAAAATAGTCCTGTATGCTGTTTCTGAACCTAACTCCCTCCTGCCTAATTGTACTAAATCTGGATTTTCTGTTGTACATGGATTCAGAAAGCAGTAGGTGTCCACATGATTGAACATCAATTTGAAGGCCATTCCTTGTGGATTTTAGAGTTTAATGCTGACAGGGATTTTAAGGACACACATTCCTATCCACACCAAAGTCTCCAGATCTCTTTATCCCCCTGAACTGCTAAGATGTTCCTCCGAAGAAAATACACGTGGTGGTTACAGGTTAAGAGGATAAATGCTCGTAAGGGCTTGATCTCTACGCCTATGAACCCTAGGCATGACAACTCCAAAAGTTACTAGGTGGACTTTCTTCAAAAAAATAGGCTTACTGCAAGAAGTTCATGAATCTTTGGAAAAAATAATGAACCATGTTTTAATTAAATTTAATAAAATTTAATAAATTTTATTGACTTTGGTGGCAAAAATAAAGCTACAGTGAAGTCTCTTCTACAAGGCAGTTGTGACTGTGGGTCTGTGGATCTCACCATGCTCTCGATTATAGGATCTTTGCTCCATGATATCCTATGTTGGGGGTGGGGGTGGGGGACTGGGGTGGGGTGGGGTGTTAATGCAAACAGACCAAAAAAAGTCTAATAATAATGAGCTTCACAGTCATTTTTTTTTTTCCAGTCTTTGTTCATTACTCAATTGTGATTTAAGTAAATGTTCCTTTGCGCTTGCCTTTCATCCACTGATTTGAAATAGTGGGGGAGCAATTATTGTACCAAGAGTGATACTACCACAGCCAATGACACGACAGGATAATGTAATGATGTGTTTTTCTCCTTGGCAGAGGACTAAATTCTCTTGCATCTAAAATATTTTCAGTGGTTTTCTCCCTTTCATTGCTCTACTCCAGTAAAGAGGGACAAAAACAGAGCCCTTCCAAATATCTAGTGACTTGAAGCCAAAAATATCATTTCAAGGAATAAATGACCCAGCAGTCAGATCATGAGTCAGGTGGGTGTATGTCAATGGATTTGCAGCTCCCTGTGCCATCATTCCTGGGGTCTCTCTCTCTCTCTCTCTCTCTCTCTCTCTCTCTCTCTCTCTCTCTCTCTCTCTGTGTGTGTGTGTGTGTGTGTTTGATGGTATTAGTGTTGTGAGCTACAAGGAGACACCTGGTTGAGTTTTTCCAAGGCCCTAAATAAATTGGGAACTATTTTCTGCTACTGGATGCCTACTGATTATAGCCTGGTCTTCTAAATACTCTAAGAACCTGTTCTCTTAAATACTGGAGAGATCTGTAACCTCTGGGTGGTGAGGGTTGGTACAAAGGCTTTTATAAACCTTACATTCAAGCTGCTCTTAATTGCTGCTTGGCTTGACGGGGCCTCTGTCGTACACATAATGTTGGGTTCTTTCGGTCAGGGTCAACGGGGCATGTGTTATGCTTCAGGCAAGAAGAGAAAACTGCTATAATCATTTTGTGGTCCACCTTAATAGTACCTTCACATCACTTGCTGCCTCTCAGGATTAGCAGCTGTTTTACTGTGTATACAACACAAAACCACGCTTGGAGCAACTTACCCTGAGCCTGCCTGCAGCGGGTATTGTGCTCACAAGGTGGCAACGTGGTGAAAATATGGGCTTTCTTCCTACAAGGGCCACTCCTCACACTACTTCCCTTGGGCCACCTCTTGTGAGCCCTGGTCTTAGTCCAGAAGCAGCCTTCTGGCTGGTCTATGTCCTGTAGTCCACAGCATTTGGTTAAACTATGGGACATACAGAAGAGCTGGTTTTCAATGCTTCAAACCAAGTTGCATTATCCACCCCTTATCACTTTCTTCTTGAAAGTTGTTGCAGATTGAGGGGAAAGCGGCATTCAGCATGTGGGCAGGGAAGCCCTACAGCTCATCTGCAGTCCTGGTAAGCAGGGCTGGAGAGCCTCACCCTCTTTGCACAAATTGCAAAGGATCTAAACTGGCTTAAGAGAAATGAGAGAGGGCAAAAAACCCCATTTAACGTCTATTCTCAAGAGGGCCTAAGTAATTGTACTTTAGAAAATGATACCTCATAAAGTCCAGTAAGTAACACAATTTAAGTCTAAAACCAGCAGTTGCATCATTCTTGGTCACATAACTCTATTTTAAGTTAAAAAAAAGACTAAACTGGGCTAGATGGATATTCTATATATTCAATAATACTATAATTTATTAAATCCTATCAGTCAGAGATATTCTAATATATCAACCAAAATACCTCTAAATTGAACTCAAGACATTTGTGTTTTGGGGAGGGAATAAAGAAGGAATGTGAAAATGCCTAAAGTATGTCGCTGCTCCCAGGTTTGACCGTTGCTCAATCTTTTGTTTGCTTTCTCATTTGGGTCAAGTTGCAACTTTTAGATGTTCTGTTGGGGAGATAAAGGAAAAATAGCTGCAAAGCTCAAAAGCAATTGGGATGGGTTTCGGAGGTGGGGTTCAGCTTTTCAAAAACATAGAACTTCATTTCCCAATTGGCCACCCTGGCCTTGGTCTTGTCCTGACTGTTGTGAATGACATCTAGCAAATACAGATTGACCTTGTTTTATGTGTCTTCTCCCTTCCCATCCCTTCTGTTTTCTTTTTCTTTTTTTCCTTTATTATTCCCTCATCACATTTTCCAGAAAGCATTTTTATTTTCTATTCTCCATACTGCTAATCACACACTTGCACTCACGCACACACATACACACACATGGGTCAGCCACCACCATCCACTACCTGCTGGTTCTCAATCTCCGAAGGCCACAGCCAGCCTTCCCTGTCCCCGGGGTCCAGATGGCGTTGTTTGGCACTGAGTCTGGAATTGGCACCTCCAGGGCATTGCTTCCCCTGTGGCCTAGTCCATGGGCCCTCTTTTTCTCAAGTAAATTCTAGCCCTCCAATGGGAGGCTTAAGGCAGAGGCCCCAGTTCTATTGTAATAATCACAGGCAGGAGACCACAGGTGACTCTGAGACCACGGGTCCCCATGCCATTGTGCCTGGGACATGGGAGGAAGGAAGGTGAGGACCACGGCAATGTCAGCCCTCAACCCGGCCACCGTGGTTCTTGGAATAGATTCCTTCTGGAAGCTCTGACTAGCTTTGCACATTCTCCCAGGACACTAATACTGCATTCGCATCTTATTTTTATACAAAAGTGAGGAAACGTGAAACACTTATACCAAATGCATGGTACCAGGAACCTGAGAAATTCTACAAGTGAAGAGATGCAGTCTTCCTCTGGGTCGAGAACGTTCCAAGGAGATCACAAGTCAAGCTCGCTGTTTCCTTTCTCATTGAAAAACTACTCGCTTAAGATGCCCATGTTTGCAGCCACTCTTCCGACCTAACACAGTGGTTGAGGCTTAGCTTCTGAATGGAGACGATCCAGGACAGCGGCTGCTCCACGCTGCCAACCCTGTGGGCTGGGCACGCAGGGAGGCAGCACGGAGGGTACCTCTTGTGCGATTTGCTTGTTCAAATGCCACTCTCGTGGGCATTAACCGTTCTAAAAGCACTTCAAATATCAGGCTGCATTGTTCTTATGGCCCATCCTTCCTCTTTCTCCTGACTTTTCCCCTCCAAAAACTCCTGTTCCTTCTTCTCTCTAATTAGCAGTCAGGTGTGACATTCTCAATCAAAAAAACCTAAAAGGCCTGGAGGAAGCACGAGGTCAGCTGTCTTCCTTTCTGGGCTGTGCTGGGCTTGGTAGTGTTGGCTACACGGCTGCAGTCATGGGGTTCTTCTGCCGGGGGTCCTGGGTCCGGTAGGGGTACTGGTCTGGGCTGCCCCCTCGGGGCCCTGGCCTGCCCATTTCCTGATAGGCTGGCACCCTGTGGTGCTGAGGGGGCGAGGGCGGGACATCTTGTCGGAAGGGTCCTTTGTGCTGGGGAGCGGGGGGCGGTGGGTAGTACTGTGGATACCGGAGATCTGCCACCCTCAGGTCCGGGGGCCGGGCGTAGCTCCCTTTGGGCGGATGCAGGGGATGAGGCCCTGGGTAGTAGGGGAGCTCCCTCTCCTTGTAGAGCCCTCGGGGTGCTGCTGTCAGGTAGTCTGTGGGATCGGCCGGTCCTCCCCTGGGAAGAGAAAAGCAGACAGAGGTCAGTAGTTGCTAGGCTGCTGCTCCACTGAAGAGACATTCCCCATTGTGTGAACGACCCAGGCCCCGCCGAGCCGAGCGGCAGTGAGAGCGCCTTGAAGGGTAGCTTTGGACAAGCCTGGGCACCAGCCCTCCTCTGTCACACCCACAGGCTGAGCGCTTTCCCCGGGATTTAGGAGAACAGGCGGGGGTGGCAGTGGGAGGTGACCTGTGCCCTTAACCAGAAGAGAGGGAACCTTCTTCTTCCGGTGTCTCCTTCCTGGTGGCCAGTGCAGTGGCCATCGTAGACCACAAGGAGAAAGCCATGGGCTGAGGAAGCCCGGGGCCTGGGGCCCTGACACCTCAGAGCCATCACATCAGCCAGGACTGCGTACACTCAGGCGGGTACATGAGAGAGAAATAGGCTTCTACTTGTTTATTTAAAAAATATATATTTTATTGATTTTTCTTCAGAGAGGAAGGGAGAGGGACAGAGAGTTAGAAACATCCATCAGCTGTCTCCTACACACCCCCCACTGGGTATGTGCTCACAACCAAGGTACATGCCCTCGACTGGAATCCAACCTGGGACCCTTCAGTGCTCTGGCCAATGCTCTATCCACTGAGCCAAACTGGTCAGGGCCTTACTTGTTTAAATGCTCTCGGGCTAGCCTTTATCCTAGTAGCCAACTATTGTAGTTTCCTGAACAAGGCAGAGTTGGGCTCTCTAAGGCTGTGGACATTCCACTCTTTCCTTCTCCGCCCCCTTGAAGCCAGTCCCACATATGATGGTAGGAACATAAGGCTCCCATGGCCCACACTCGCTTCTCTCCTGGGCCTTTGGTGCTCTTCACATGGGCCACAGTCTCGGTTTACCTCTTGGGTCTTCTGTCACATCCCGCTGGGGACCAGTGTGCCCTCCCCTCTCCCCAATCCCGAGAAGAGGTCCTAACCCAGAGCTGGGAACTGCTCTCCTCCAACGCTGATGAGAGCCATTGTCCAGGGAAGTGGAGGAGGGCCAGGCCAGGAGCAGCGTGGGAAAAGCCTGACCAGCTGTAGGTCACACAGTGTAACCAGGAGGCACACAGGAAGGTCCAGGCGAGAACAAACGCTAGCAGCCAGCGACCCTGTCTGGATCCTCTGCTAAGACAACGAGCTTCTTCTGATTCACTTGCCATCACAGAAGCAACCCATCTGCAAACACATGACCGCATCTCACCCAGCCCGGGGCTGAACAGATGCTTCTGTTTGTGGCTCTCAACTCCCATAAACCTTCTGTGGGCATGCACATCACAGCATCGCCCCAGATCCTTCTCGCTTTGCACCCTCCCTGCTTTTACCATGTTCTTAAAGGAAAACAGTGCCATTCATAATTCATGAAAAGCTCCCCAACATCCGTGTACAGACTGGCCCGACCGTTGGAAGCTCTGGTGTGGCTGTGAAGACAGTCTGCGGTTAATCAAACACCGTCAGGGAGGGTCAGGATCACCCTGTCATCCGCAGGCCGATGTGAACACAGCCCTGGAAGCCCCTCCGATCGATGCAGGCCTGACAGGCGCCGAGCTCCGAGCCTGTGCCAGGCAGCACGTGAGCGCATTCATAAAGATGAACAATGGGGCTCTCGCTCCACTTCTCTGCGTCTTAATTTGGCTATGAATAATCATGAAAGATAGGCCTTCGAGCACGGCGTAATTTAGTCCGTGAGAGTTTTCAGATAAAAAAATTAAATTGTTTACGTACAAGTTATTATAACGTCAACGGCGATGATTCAGTGCCGCGCGCTTCGCTCTGTTTTAAATGGCCCGTGACAATGCGGGCACGGACGTGCGTCTGTCACCCCGGCCAGGGGAATCTAGGGATCAGGGTTTCATCTCCCCTCTCCCAGAGAATTTTATTTTATTATTATTATTTTAAAATATATTTTATTAATTTTTTACAGAGAGGAAGGGAGAGGGATAGAGAGCTAGAAACATCGATGATGAGAGAAACATCGACCAGCTGCCTCCTGCACACCCCCTGCTGGAGATGTGCCCGCAACCAAGGTACATGCCCTTGACCGGAATCGAACCTGTGACCCTTCAGTCCGCAGACCCATGCTCTATCCACTGAGCCAAACCGGTTTCGGCGAGAATTTTATTTTTGATTGAGGAAACTTCCAGCATTCACTGTATCTTTTATCATCATGCTCATTTCTATTTCCTTGGGTTGATGTTGGAGATTTAAAAAAAAAATAAAATCCTTAACCTGTGCTTTCTCTCACAATCTACTGGAGATATTTCTCCGCATGAAGTGAAACATGTGGTTTTCCTGCACTCATTTTAAGCCCCTGGGATAAATCACTGACATTTGCAACACGCAAACATTATCTGCTTTAAAATGAACGCACGGCCGCGCTCCCTGCGGACCCTCTTAGCCTGGATGTTTCCTGTTTAAGATGGAAAGAGAGAAAGGAGGAATTCCAGGCCTCGGACTTTTAGGGTCCTGTTCTCTCCCTAGAGGCTTCTCTCTTAAAACAGAACATTATAAAAGACAGGCACGCCTTGTTTTTTAATTTTAATTTTTTTTTTTTTTTTACTTTTTGAGAGAAAATCCAGATCAAGTGGCGACAGGGCAGAAGCCACCCTGAGAGCCACCAGGACAGTGCCCACAGGGACAGTTGCTATCTCTTCCCACACATCTCGCCCCTGCGACTCCTCCACCTCTCAGGGCAGGGGCGGGGGTGCCCTGGGCAGAGGGGCAGAGCTCAAGATGCTGCCCCTCCGAGGGGAGGCTGTCTGCCTGGGAGTGTGCTCACATGCGGCAGAGACCAAGCCAGGTAGCTGTTCTTTGTCAAGAAAGGAAATGGTCTTACTCTGTAGAACTCATCACAATGGCTATGGTTTTAAATTTTTCACAGAGGAAAACAACGAGCTGGCCTATAAAACACCGTTTAAGGTTCAAAGGGTGCTCAGAAGATTTGTCTTTTTTTATTGGGGGGCGGGAGGGGAGTTGCTGTTGTTTATAGTAACTTTTTGCTCAAAAGTAAGCATTTTCTACAGACTTCCCCCAGAACAACAGAGAAGTAAGTGCTTTTGAATAATGTTCACACACACACACACACACACACACACGCATAAGTGTGAATGATTTTTAAACAGAAAAAAACAAAATAAAACCCTCCTCATTAACTAAGGAATTTGACAGGAAAAGGGAGCTGAAATTTTAGCCTGTTAACCTGGAGTTTCCCTTTTCATAGTGTCTTTATTTGGGTGAAATTTCGCATTTGATGGAAAGCACAGAAACCCATCCATTCTGAGGCCTAAGAAACGCGTATCGCAGTGACCAGTGCTTTGAGTGATTCTGAGGAACTCAGCAGCAGCTTCCTCTGAAGATGGTGATGCAAACAAGGGACCAAAGAGAAGGTGTATCAGAACCTGCAGGTCCCTCATTTCCCACGTGACCTCCTGAGCTTCATCTGTAGGTGTTATTGCTTTTCCTGAAATCAATTTCCCATTGAAAACATCACCTAGGAACCATATTTACTTAAGAGAAGAGAAACAAGCCTATGTTTGCTTTCTTTATAATACAACTCTTTGAGGCAGTTGCCATGAAAATATCTCTATTTTTAAATTTTCACTATTTACTTCTTTATTTCAGTTCTTAGACTATTTTTGAGGCCAAAAGGAGTCAGATTTTGCTCTGAAAACTCACAGGAACTATCTCAGACATACGGTTGCCAATCACAAAGATGCATGCAATAATGAAAGTTGACCTTTAAGTCTAAACGGGAGAAAGCTATATGATACACGCATGTGATGACACAATAAGGATCACTTTCTTTATAGCAGTGGTTCTCAACCTTTCTAATGCTGCGACCCTTTAATACAGTTCCTTATGTTGTGGTGACCCCCAACCATAAAATTATTTTCGTTGCTACTTCATAACCATAATTTTGCTACTGTTAATGAATCATAATGTAAATACCTGTGTTTTCCGATATTGAGGCCTCTGGTCTCAAATAAAAGGTCTTCGGAGACAATGTCAAAGCTGAAAACCAGGTGCAATCATCACAGTTTCAAGTACCTGGGCCTGAGGACAGATAAATACCTTCTGCCAGTTCCCCTCTGTCACAAAGCTTCCCAACCTTTTCTCCACCAGAACACACACGATGGATGACCTTCATATGAACCACAAGAGAGGCGGAGGCTAGGATTATGCAAACTTCTCTACCTCCTGCTGGAACTGAATGCCTTTCCCTCCCACGCAACAAAACGAAACAAAAACACAAGGAGATTCAAGTGAGTGGGGCAACGTTATCAAAAGTGACAAATCTTTGCAATAAATAGCCTAACATGATTCACCTACCAGTATGGGTACCAAGCCCGAGTTTGAGAACGGCCGCTTCATCCAGCCAATGAGCACCCATTAGGAGGGAGGACAGGTGAAGTTGAAGAATGACAGGGGAAAAACATGTAGGGCTGAGCTGGAAGTGAGCAGGTGTGAATATAAGATCCTCAGTAAAAAGTGTGAAAGCCATGAGGAGAAGCTCCCGAAGAGCAAAACCCTGTTCCTCTTAATTTCTGTAAAATACTACCCATGCCAACCCCTGCAAAACAAAGGTATATTTTATTGATTTTTTACAGAGAGAGAGAGAGAGAGTTAGAAACATCGATGAGAGAGAAACATCGATCAGCTGCCTCTTGCACCCCACCCTCACCCCACTGGGGATGTGCCCGCAACCAAGGTACATGCCCTTGACCGGAATCGAACCCAGGACCTTTCAATCCGCAGGCTGACGCTCTATCCACTGAGGTTTTGGCTATGGGTTTCCTTTTGTGGTGATAATTGACTGTGACCAAATTCGGGGTTCAAAGGAAAGGAAGTAACATGGTGTAAAACTGCTGGTGGAAAGATAGGTCCTTGGGTTAAGAGAGGCAGAAAGCCAACGTTACTCTCAAGTACACCACGTGCAGGAGACTCCCTGGAGAGCTGATGTTGGTGCCTTCCTCTCTGACTTTT